TATATAGTAAGTGCTCAATATACAGTAGCTGCTATTAATAAAAGGAAGTCTAAATCCCACAACATAACAATTATAAGGAAAGCTTTCAACATCTCATTTTTTAGGACATAAAAACCCCAAAAATCCAAACCCATTGCCATCTAGTGAATTCTGACTCATAGCGACCCTACAGAACAGAGTAAAACTGCCCCATAGGGTTTCCAAGGCTGTAATCTTTATGGAAGCAGACTGCCACATCTTCTCCTGAGGAGCAGGTGGTAGGTTCGAACTTCTGACCTTTTGGTTAGCAGCTGAATGCTTAACCACTGCACCACCAGGGCTCCTGGTTTAGGAAATAGGTTTTGCAAATCCACAATCTAACCACATGTGCTCTTCCAAAGAAAAATAATCATACCAAGTATAGGAATTTGCCAAATAAGATGCAAGCAATACCAAATATTTTTAAAACCAAAATTTTACAGTAATGCAAAACAGAAATGTGCCAAGAACTAACCCCAGACCCTGGCCTGTTTAATAAATCTCTCTCCTACAAAGCTGACATGCTTATGGGATTACCGTTTACATTAATAACAGTTTAAAGGGCAGACACTCTCACCTGCCAAGAAATGATTCTTTCAGGTTTTCTATCTCCAGTTATGTCTGTGTGGTATGACAGAGCATGGCACTGAGTCAGGACACTTCTGTTCTCCCCTGGCCTCTGCCACCATCGAGTGGTGAGATCCTGAGCAAGATGCCCTTTCCAGTTTTCTGTGAAATGAGGTGTTGTCTACAGTCTCCAAGAGTCCTTCAGCTCTAAAACTCTACCATGTACATTTTACAGTTTAACGTGTATAATATTGGTTTGAGGAGGAAATACTACATTTTAATCAGATACCTAGAATACCTTAAATATTGAGTTTCATAATTACCATCTACAGATTTTTGGGAGAGGAGGGAAATGAATCACACATTATACAAATGTACTTCTAACTAAGATAACAATAGCTCCATTTTCATATAGAAGGAAGTGAAAGACTAACTTAAAAGCATTTGGAGTCATGAAATTCCACAGTACATTCCATTTTCAAAGGTCAGCCCTACTCTTAATAAATGCCAATTTCTCAGCGGCTTAAACTCATTCCAACTAGATCTATATTGGCAACAATGGTGGTGAATTTGGCTTAGTTTTATATACCATCACCACTCATTAATTGATGTATGGGAAAACAAATATTGCTGTTTTTACAAGACTCTGTAAAGGCTGTTACCTACCTCTTTGACTGCCTATGTTCAATGCCAACTGTCTACTATGAGCAGCAAACTTAGAGGTGTGTGTCAGAACCACATGGGTTCTCACAGGGCTGACATCCAGCAGAAGAGCCAGGCAAACCTGGGAGTACACGACCCGGACTTCGGGGCTGGGGAAGCCCCCAGGGGAAGTCACATTTAAACTGAGGTCTGAATGAACAGTGAGCCTGGAGAAGAGTATGCCTCACACTTTGCACTCTAGGTTTAGCTAGGGCATCACCTCCTCTAGTCTATCAGGGCCCTCTTTTCTGTGCTCCCCTCACACCCTGGATTCTCCTCTAGGTAGGGTGACTGTTAATCTAGGTTTGCTCTGGATAGTCCTCGTTTGTTGTTCTAGAATGACTAGCAGTAGTGCCCCCTTACACTCTCAAAAGTATCCTGGCTGGGACTATCAATTATACGATTATCCTACTATTAGCCCTGCTCCTGGCAATACCAGGCTTACATGTCAGGCTCCTGTGACTCAGCTCACTGAGGGTATGGCTCTATCTTGTTCACCTTTGTATTCAAGACACCTAACCTCATGCCTGATGCTAAACAGACTGGGCACAACAGTCATTCAGTACAGTATTTGAAATTAAAAGGAAAAACAAATACAAGCTACAACAAATTATATTTGCAAATCTTTACATTAGGCTGGAATCCTGATTCCATCTTTCACTAGCTGTGACCTTGTGATCCTTAGGTTTTCACCTAAAAATGAGGATAATAGTATCTTCTTCATAGGGTGAAATTTAATGAAATACTCCACATAAAGTGCTTTAGTACAGTACCTGGCATATACTGAGAATCAGCAGCAGTTGCTCCCATTGACAATAATGACTACTCCTCCTGCAGCTGCTGCAACCCTGTTTGCTAAGAAGCGAAGCACCCAGTAGGGACTCAATATGTGTGTACTAAATGAATGGTTCGTCTCATACTAGATGCTGGCTGCAACCCATACTCTTAAATTATAAAATGCATTTATCAAAATTATAATTTAGAAGTCAAAAGCTTTGACTCTTTTAAGTCCAGTTTTAATAATAACTAAAAATAACAACAAAAACAAAAACCCATCTCACACCCATAAATCACAGAACACAAAATGCAGCAGCACTGTCTGGCCCATCTTCTATGTGTTAATTAAAATTAGCAGCATTTAAATCTCACCCTCATTATAACTATGCTTTTAAAAGTTACTCTTCGATAAGCATGCCCACTTGGGTATTTGGGTCCATCTCTTCCTCTTTTTGAACTGTCAGCCTCTTAAGCTTTATGTGATTAATGTATATATAGAGAAAATTAGAAAGGGCTCAGATTGAGTGAATAGTAGTTTCTTGATCCCCCAATTACAATATCCTCTTTGCAGTATATCCTTGTTGAACATTTGGAATGGATTAAGACTTTAAACTACCAGATGTTTAACTACTGTAAATTCAAACTCATTAAAAGGGGCAGATTTACTACCTCTACTTAGTTTTGAAGTCTGTTGTTTGCCCTGTCCAAATAATTTATGAAACCAAATACAAAGGCAGGTAGTGTATTCTATTTATATAGTACTCATGGTGGGAAATAAGGGGTATAAAAAAAGGTCTGGAAATTAACTGCCATTTTAGCCAACCTGTAGATCACACTTATTGTTGTTTCTAAGCTAGTAATTGTTTCCTGAAACTGATCTAGTAGAGACTTTTATGCTAATCTGTACTAAAATATATTTTACTTTTTCTGGCCACAAAAGTTGGCTACAGAGGAGCATTTGATTACAACGAGAAGACAGCTGCACCCACTCTCATGAAATAAATCGACCTGGATCTACAGTCCTTTGTGGTAGTGTTTTGGCAGCCAAACAAAGGTTTTTACTACACCCAGTTTGTAAAGTCTCAGAAGTGTCAGGCTCCAACTTTTTTTTTTTCAAGGAACCCACGTGGACTATAATGAGTGCATTTCAGAGATGCTGTGCTGAAAGCTGGCAATGGATAAAGCAAGAACATAAAAGGAGCCTATTCCTAAAGCAAATGTTTCTTCTATAAACCTTAAGAATGAAGTGACTTTCACAATCAATTTTAAGATCGAAGAACTAGACTGAAGTACCTGGCTCTGGCACTTATTTGCTATATAATTTGGGCCAATTCATTTACCTGTTTGATTTCTCAACTGAAAAGTAGGGATACCTGCCTGTTTTGTTTTGTTTTTTTAGGACTGAATGAATGAGATAGTCCAAGGTGCTCTGTAAGTGTGAAGCATCATATAAACATTAATAAACACTGCAAGTGCAATTTCCCTGCATTATATGAATTACATACTTTAAGCAGCACTTAATGAGTGGATATGTCAAAAGTAAAAATTCCTCTAATTAGATATGGTAAATCTTGAATAAATTTCCAAGTACATTCTGTTTTGATACCTTCTCACTTCAAATATATTGAATCAGAACCTACATTTTAACAAGATCCTCAATCACCTGGAGATCTTGTTAAACTATAGGTTCTGATTCAGTATATCTGGGGTGGAAATACAAATTCTCAGCAGGGGGTTGAACCAGACTGAACTGGTTCAAAACCCTGCTTTTAACAAATTAGAGTTTTTAATCTTTCAATAGACTCCCAAATTAACTTAGAGAGAATATACAGAGTTATAAAAACAAACACTGGGCACCTTAAAAGCTTAACTAATGTTTGTCGCATGAATGTTTTTGGATACACTACTGTGGTAGACTGAAAACAGGGCCATATTTTGCTGCTTTTCCAATCAAGAAGAAGAGTCTATTTCCTCTTACAACTTGCTTTGACCAAAAGAATGTGGTGGAAGTGACATTCTGTGAGTTCTTGAGCCTAGGCTTTGAAGCTACTGCCTTTGCCTTCTTGAGCACCATGCCATAAGCACAGGATGAAAGACCACATGGAGAGACCCAGCCCTCAGCCAACCTGCCAGTTGAGTGCAGCTGCACAAGAGAGCCCCGCCAACCCACAAAACAGTGAAAAATGATCAATTGTTTAAGTCACTAAGTTTTAGGATGTTGTTAAGCAGCAATACGTAACTGGTAAGTTATCTAACCCTCATAGCACAATCACAAGGCAGGTTTTATAGTTAAGGAAACATACCCATGTTAAGTAATTTGCCAAGGTCACACCACTCTTAATTGTCCTAAGAACTGGATGCAGTTATTTGAAAGGTCATTTCTGTGTCTCCTTCACTGTCATTCTGCCATCACGAACCAGCTCAGTTCTTTCTGCCAAGGACAGAGGCACCTCCTTAGAGATCTGGCTATAAGATAAACCCTGTTATCTTTTTTATAACCTGCACGGATAATGTGTCCCAGTTTGACACATCTGCTGGGTTTGCCCATGGCAGGGAAATGCACTGTAGCTAAAGATCCAGCATACTAGCAAATGTACCCCATTCTGCTTTCTGAAACTCGAATGACACTAACTGTACCCAACGTAATTCAGTGACAACTTTGCAATTATGTTCATTCATTTACATTTTAGCCAGCAACAATGCAAACTCTGACAATTTACATCAGGGGTCATACAGTAGGTAATATAAAAATTGTCAGTTGAAGAAACCTTACATATAATGCCTCAATTGTCTTTTTTTTATACTCCAAGTAGCAAAACACATACAAAAAAAAAAAAATTAAGAACCCATCTTCAAGAGTTGTGAAGTTGATAAATATTTTTGAGACTTTACCATAAGAATCTGTTCTGTCCCCACCAAAAACAATATACCTCGACTTTAAACAAAATTCACATTTTATTTAGATTGAAATAAACTGTACAAAATTGATCTTCTTCACCAAAAATAACAGTAATATTTTCTGTATTATTCCTAGATAAACCACAAAACACTTATTTTTGTAGGTTTTCCAGGTTTTGCTTATAAATCAAGATGAGGCAGTAGATGTAGTCATGGAAAAGACAGAAGACAACAGATGTATCAGTTGTTAGTGTCCATGGCCTCAGATTCTGTCTTAACCATGAAACAGAAGTGTTCAACATATACCTGCCAAAAAGTCTATGAAGGTGTAGGCTCAACAAAGGAATGTAAACAGCAGCAAACAGATGTGGAACAATGGTAAGCTCTTCCATTCGAACTTTAACTGTAACTTGTTCCTTTAGGTTCATTTGATAAAGACATGTTTGGCTAGCTCAGTTTGTCTCACTCTGGTAATTCCCTTCACTGTCCATTACAGATTTTTTACAACATACTTAAAACTCCCACTAGTCAAAGATCAGTCTTGAGATTCATTGTAACATTTTATAAAATATATTCCTTCTTCCCACACCTCCTCAAAATTTATTTCTTAAAAGGACTGTAACTCAATACCTGCCTGATTAATTAGATCCACAGTGATGATGTTATGTCTAAAATGACTTAACTAAAACAACTCCAGAGTGCCACAAGAGAGATCACACAGAAACAAAACGTGGCACTTTAACTGCTATCTTCTGGAAGAACAGATACATCTTTAAAGCATGACAGTTCAAAAGAGGGGCCATTTAAATAGGTAGATTATCAATGGCTAATAATCAGAGGCCTATAGGCAAAGATATTCAGTGATTAAGTGGCCTATATATGCCTTACAGCTTTTCCTCCAAATATCAAATAGAAAACCTATTTTAAAACAGTCTCTTAGGTATTTTCAGTAGTTTCTGAATTACCTGTAGGAAGCTCCGACTTAGTCGTATAGAGTTTGATATATGTGTCCACCATTAAATCCAGATCATGTTTTATATCAAAATTTATGTTAAGCAAAGCCAAGTTACTTGACCTTTGGTCTGTCAAAGTGTTTCTCAGATATGCTCTGAGACGCTTTCGTCCATTTTCATAGCGCTCATTGGCAACCTTCATCACAGGAAGTATACACAGGACCTTCAGCAATGCATAAACATTAGGAAAGAACTTGATGTCAGGCAGATGGAGGGCTTCATAAATGGTGGATGGAAGCTCTATATCTTTTCCTCTGTGTTTCCACTTAATTCTCCAACAATGAAGCTCAGCTGACAGTGTGTCAGGATTGGGTAAGTCACTTCTGTACATGTCAGCGTGGTGTTCCTCTGACGTATTGAATTTGAGCTGTCCCATGACAGAGGGTACCAGAGATAAGCATTTAAGAGCTTTGAGGTGCTGTTCTGAGAATATATCTTTAAGTTCTTGAATAATGTGCTCCACTGTTGGGACACTTAGGGTTTCTTTGTAGTAACTCTCAGAGGTTAGCTGAGAATCCACGTTACCTTGCTGAGCTCTGCGGAATTTCCCAGGGAGTTTCATTTGAATATCAAGTTTGGTTGCCAAATTTGTGGCTTCCTCAAACCAAAATTCATGATAAACTTCAATATTTTCCATCACTTCATTTAGTGAATGCAGCACTGCAGTCAAGCTGCTTGCTGCAAAGAAGACATCAGAGGTTTGACCCTGGAGATTTTTCCCAAAGGCTCTTGTAAAAGATAGAACGTTTTTAAGAACAACAATGGTAACAATGAAATCAAAATCTGTTACTGCACTACAGAGTACAAATGCTCCGCCAGCTATACAGTTATTCCATCTAATATTTGTGTCATTATTTATACCATCTAAACATAAAACAAGTGCTTGTAAGAGGTCTACTAAAATTTCAAAAGCATCATGCCTGCCCGTCCATTGAGAATGGCAAATTTCCTTTAGTTCATTACCCCTTTCTTCATTGTTCTGAAAAAGGACAGAAATTACACTGTCAAGTTCTAAAAGCAGTTGCGGTGATCGATGGAAAAAAGAACAAACTTCTTCAATCGTTCCCAATGCAACAGATACTCCCATAACAGGTACTGATTTTGCCAACCACATATTTAAGGCACAGGAAGAACAGAGTGTGTAGATGGCTTGAGGATATTTCTCTAGAAGTCTAGAAGCAACAACTTTCATCTTGGAAGAAAATCCACTGGACACAATGTAAGCCTGGCCACGACAGTACTCCATGTTTAGCCCCCATTTCTCAGTTATCGTAGTGTGAAATTTCACAGCCAAAATTTCTGCATCAGCTTCGTAAGGCAAGAAGCCCACAAATTCTTCTCTTAGGTTATGAGATTCATCAACAAATCTCACCAACACAGGCAGGTGCTCTTCCCCTGCTATGTCTACCACATCGTCGGTGATAATGGAAAAGAAGTGTGAGTCTCTCACTTCTCTGAGAGTTTCTTCCCGAATGCAGCTCTCGCAGATCTCTAGCATCTGCTTCTGCTGTGTTTTTGAACAGAACAGTGTGTTAACTGCTGTTGTCTCAAAGCGTTTTCTCAGAACCTCTTCACCAGAATTTATGCGGCATTCCAGCAGAGCCTGAAAGTTATCAGGAGTAAAGAGACCTTCTGGGATTTCTTCAGCCTCATGTCCATCCAGAGGTATGTTTTGCTTTCCCATAAGAATCAAAATTTCAAATAAAGATTTTAGGTATTCTTTGTTTTCCTTCTCTTCGAGGGTTAAAGGTAAAATGTCTTCATCCTGTTCTTCACCTCCTTCTTCTGCATTGAGGTTCTGAGCATTGCTGTTGTTTGTTTCTTTATGTTTTTGTTCCTGTTCAGAAGTTTCATCAACTGGAAAAGAAAGAATTAACTTTAGAAACAGGCTCGAGAGCAATGAAACAAAACAAAACACAATTTATTTTTGATTAATTAAATATTTAAAATCCACAAACTCATTCATTCAACATTTACTGGGCACCTACTCATTCAGAAACTTGGATACAGACATTAAAATAAGACATGCATCACTGTTTTCAGATCAACACAATCCTAATGAATAAAACCAGTTCCAGGTGCTCCTTAATGCTCACTAACCTACTAGACCAGTGGTTCTCCAGGTGTGGTCCCCACACCGGCAGCATCAGCTCCACTTGGCAAATTCTTGGGCCCACCCAGACCTGCTAAATCGAAAACCCTGGGAGTGGGGCCCAACAAGAGGTAGCTGAACGAGCCTTCCAGGTGATTCTAATGTGAGCTAAAGATTAAGAACCACTGGAATAGAGTAACAATTCAATTGACTGCCTTGAATTTAGGTTTTCCTTCCTGGTCCTTTTAATGGTACAGTATCAAATAAATAGCCCTTGTGTTAAAAAAAAAAAAAAAGACACACTGTAGTGGGGAGACAAAAACTGTAAACAGATATATTTTAATAGTACATGCAAATGCTGTTATAAGATAGAAACAATTTCTTGTAAGACTTAACAACAAGGCATTTCATATATCATACAGAGTAATAATAGACAGTCCATGCCCTCAGAAAAGGAAGGGCTAGGGAACTACTATTTATTGAGGCACTGTACTAGGCTTTTTATATGCATCACATTAGTCTTTCTCCAGGCAGGTGGCATCAACCCCATTTGATGAGGACAGTAAATAACTTGCCCAAGGTCACAGATGCAGTTAGAAGGATGGAGGTGAAATTTAAATCCAAGCTTGTTTGGCTCCAGGGTCCAGGCTATTTCTATCAAACCATTAAGCCACAGTTTTACAGGAGAGATGAGACAGCTATACACACCAATATAATATAGGTTCATGTAACTTTTAGGGCTGAAATATGAGAAATCTTAGCCTTTTTTTAATCTTTGGATGGGAAAACTGCAAGGTTGTGTCCTGCCCAGTCATACAGGACTAGCATCCAAATCTGAGGAATCACAGTTAGAACTTAGTTCTTAGAACATAGAGATTTGAGAGGGCCACCAACAGTTGTGCAGTATCACGGTGAGGGAAAACAAAATTCAGAACAAAGAAGTTGCACTTCTCATGACAAGGATAAGGACACGGACAAAGAGGGCACTTCAGACGGCAGGAGGAATTCCAGCAAAAGCACCAAGGTGAAACAGGGAAGCAGGCTGTCCAGGTACAAAGCGAAACCTAGTCTGACATGCCTGTGTAAACCATGCTTCCAGCCATCTCAGGGACTCTCAGATCTTCTGCAGGTTTCAGCAAGGTCAGGGAGCATCCTTCTCCAGCCCCTCCCCAACTCAGATGGCACTGTTATTCATCATATATTTGTTGTTGTTGTTACTTGCTGTTGAGCCAATTCTGACTCATGGAGACCCCATGTGGGCAAAGTAGAACTGCTCCATAGGATTTGAAGGCTGTGACCTTCTGAAAGCAGACAGCTAGACCTGTCTTCCAAGTGGTGCCTCTGAGTGGGTTCGAACCACGAATCTTTTGACTAGTACAGTCACACGCTGCATAATCTCTGTTCGGGCAAAACTGAATCGCATCTATGTCCATGATCCCCAGGTTACGAACGTCAGACCTGTGTATAACCTATATACAAACCAATCCCTGTAAAGTCTATTATATTAAAAATCTGAGGTACATACAATGGTTCATAATAACAAATGTGCTACTTTGCGATGTGCATCAAAACATTGTTACTATTACTGTGGTAAAGATGTTTTAATGTATCTGGAAGTATTTCTTTAATTTTTTTAAGCATAGAAAGGTATACTATATACTATGTTGTTGCTGTTAGGTGCTGTTGAGTTGTTGAGTCAGTTCTGACTCATAGTGACCCTATGTACAACAGAACGAAACACTGCCTGGTCCTGCACCATCCTCATGATTGTTATTATGCTTGAGCTCACTGTTGCAGCCACTGTGTCAATCCATCTCACTGAGGGTCTTCCTCTTTTCCATTGATCCTCTACTTTACCAAGCATGATGTCCTTCTCCAGGGACTGATCCCTCCTGATAACATGTCCAAAGTATGTGAGGCATAGTCTTGCCATCTTTGCTTCTAGGGAGCTATCTGCCTGTAGTTCTTCCAAGACAGATTTGTTTGAACCAATCTATATACTATATACGAAGACAAACATTGACTAACTGATGTTAGATACAAATTGTACCTTAACTGTTCCAACTTACGTACAAATTGGACTTCAAGAGAGATTTAGGAACAGAACTCATTCGTAATCCAGGGACTGCCCGTATATAATATGTTCACACAACTTTTAAATCACATAAGGTCCTATTTCACAGAACATATTGTGGACGTTAAGCAATGTGTGACTGTAGTCAAGAGTGCTTAACCATTTGTGCCACCCAGGAACTCCTTATTCGTCATATATAGTATATGACTAAATTTCTTATAGTCATATACTACATAGCAGTGGTTCTCAACTTGGAAAGATTTTGCTCCCCAGGGGGCATTTGGCAATGTCTAGAAACATGTTTGGTTGTCACAGCTGTATGTGGGGAGGTGCTACTGACATTTGGTGGGTGGTGGTGGTGTTGTTAGGTGCCGTCAAGTCAGTTCCAACTCATAGCGACCCTATGCACCACAGAATGAAACACTGCCCGGTCCTGCGCCATGCCCACAATCATTGTTATGCTTGAGCCCACTGCTGCAGCCACTGTGTCAATCCATCTTGTTGAGGGTCTTCCTCTTTTTTGCTGACCCTGTATTTTACCAAGCAAGATGTCCCTTCCCAGGGACTGATCCCTCTTGACAACATGTCCAAAGTATGTAAGACGTAGTCTTGCCATCCTTCCTTCTAAGGAGCATTCTGGTTGTACTTCTTCCAAGACATCTGGTGGGTAGAGGCCAGGAATGCTGCTAAGCATCCTACAATGCACAAGACTGCCCCCACAACAAAATATTATCCAGTCCAAAATGTCCAAGGTGCTGAGGTTAAGAATCCTTCTATGAAACTTTGGGATAAAGTTTTGAAGAAAGGGTCTGGCTGCTTAAAATAAAAGTAATTTGAAAAAAAGCTGTGGTAGAAAAATAGCAGAAGAAAAGTTCTGGCCATCTTGTATAAGGCCCTGAAGGCCAAGCTGAGAAATCTGTTCTTAATTTATCAGGGTTTGTGGCTTGCGGAGCCTCTGAAGAATTAATTGCAGTCTCATATGTACAGCACTTAAGCATGTGCTTGGCCTGGTGAGCATTCAGTCAGCAGTAGCTTTTTTCTAAGTTTGTAAGAGGAGTCCTCTCTTTAGGTCTAGTCAGGGGTGAGATGTCTATCATGAGCATACAGGTTTTTACAAGCCAGAAAAGGAGGTTATCCTGGATGCCTGCCAGCCTGCCTCTCTCTCCCTCTCGTCTATTACTTCTCCATTTCCAATCAAAAAGAATTAATTGTTGTTTTTATTTTTTCAAAAAGGTGCTCATAATAGAAAAGCCAGTAAGTATAAAGTGAAAAGTAACTCTCTCTCCTCTTGGGCATCCTTCCATATGTGAGACTTATAAGTTTCTTGAGTTCCCTGAATCCATCCCCTCATCTCCATTCTCACTACCATTGTCTTAACTCAAGGTCTTTCAACTCTTGTTTGGTGTGCTACCTGTTCTCCCTTGCCTCCAGTGTTATGTTTTCTAATTCAACCCAGAATGCTTTATGTAACATGAAAATCAGGTCCATGTCATTACCTATTTACAAACCCCTCAAGGGTTTTCTATTGCCATCAGCCCATAGCCCTGTAAGTTTTGGCCCCTGTAGTCCCCTCCAGGCTGCTCATTTTCTAACCATCATGAACTATCAGAAGCTCCAATAACATAGAAATGTTTAAAATTCCGTAAAGGAGGAAAATAATAATATCTACCTCAGGGTTACTGTGAGAATTAAATAAACTGATATAAGTAAAGCACTTAGAATAATGACTTGGCACACAGTAAGCATCATAAAAGGTTATGTTAATAATAACAATGGCAGCAGCAGGAAGAGGATGAGTAATATAGTAACTGACAAGAACAAAAACAACTACTAGCCCCCATCCTTTAGTGACACAACTCAGGCATCAGCACCTGCAAGAAGTGCTCAGTGCCCCAGAGCACTTACTTCTTTAACATTTCACCAAGGACACAAATTAGGTGGAGAGAGATTCTGTTCCTGCCCTTACTGTTGCCCTTCTTTCCCTACACTGGGACACTCTGCCTGTGTGCCTGCCACACTGAGAGCACCTGGAAGAGAGAGGGAGGAGTCATTTGTGAGGCCTGGACTTGGCAAAGTATATGGCATAGTGGCAGTCAATAAAGACAAGTGAACTGAGACTTTAATCTGACAGACCACAGGACAAAACCTACCACACTCTCACATCCATTCTTAAGGTGGGTTTTGGACATAAAACATATTTATTTGTCCTTACCAGATCAAGGCCTTTTTAAAAGGCATTCAGAAGTTCAGCCATTAACATTATCACTTACTTTTTTTCTGTTTCAGTGTCCTGATTTCATCTTCACTCTAAATGACAAGAAAAAGAAAAAAAAACAAATCATCTTTGAGAAAACTGATCTCTTGAATATTATCTTAGGCTCACAAATAGAAAGCATATTTTAAGCCAAATTTAATTCTTCTAAGACTATAAATTCTTTACATGGAATACCTTCCTCAAACAAACAGATGACAGGAAAACCAGAACAATAATTTGCTAACGACTCCAAGGTTAAAAGAAAGTCCTAGAGGGGAAGAATACATCGTTTAACTTATTTTATACCTAAATTATCATATCTTCGGGTAACAAGTATTTACTGGCTAATAAAAGGCATGAAAGTACACCATGGCACTTGGGGTCAAACTCAAGAGGACACAAATCACTCCCCTGCCCCATCTAACCCTAGAGATGCCACATAAGAAGAAGGCTGCTGGATCCCAGAATCGAACACAAAAGCTATGAGAAATCCCTGTGAAGCAGACGGTCATAGAGTGCCAGTATGGAAGAGAAATGACAGCTTAGAGTAGGAGAGAACAAGTGGCACAAACGGGTAAACTGAAGAAATTTCCAGCTGTGTCCTTTTCCCTCCTTCCAATCTTGTACAATGTTTAGGTCACGGCCTGCCCCATTACTATTCTGTGGTAGGAAAGTAGCAGTGCCAGTGCCAGCTGGAGACAGCAAGGTACCTGCTGGGCAGTACTGGGCATGGTGTTGACAATAAGAAACATCAGCAAGCTGGCCAACCCAGAATACTCCCTCCTTATCCTGTGAGCTGCACAATTACAACAAGGGATCGTAGATCTGGAAAAGAGTGTGACTTCTGTGAGGTGTGTGAGGCTCCCTGAAAGGCAGGGTACAGGGAAATGACAGCTACAGGACAGGAAGTGGTTGAGCCTTTTACCGCTGGTACACATTACTGGGAAAGAAAGCTGATGTGGAAGAATGTTGTATAAGTGTCAGCATTCATCTATAAGGAGTTTTGGTAAAACAGAGATAAACAAATCAAGGGTAAGAAATAAAAACTGGGGATTTCTCAGAACTTAAGATGTAAGTCCTCAAAATGAAAGGACTTGTAAAATGCTAAACAGGCTGGATAAGAAAAAACTCACATCTAGGTATAGTTAAGTGAAATTAAAAATGTTGAAAATGAAGAGACAATTCTAAAAGCTTTGTGGGAGAAAAAGCAGTTCACCTAAAAAGGAACAACAATCAATCTGGCATCAGAATTCAACAGCAACGATGGATGCAAAAAAAACCAGAAAGAATCAACATCATATATACTACCCATACCCTCTATGAATCATCAGACATTTGAAATAAAAAATACAAAATATCTTAAAAAATAAATCCAAGTCTGGAAACTAAAAACAAAAATAATCCTACATTAAAGAAATAGGAGAATTACAAAATACTTAGAGCTGAACAATGAAAGTGGTACATGTTTAGAATTATGGGATGTAGCTGAAACAGACTTACGAGATATTTACAGCTGTGAATACACATAAATATGAGCTAAACATTTAAGAAGCTACAAAAAAAGCCAAAAAGTAAATCCTCCAAATCAAGAAACCAGCAAAACAGCTCACAAGTATAGCAATCACTGGAAAACTAAATACTAGTTCTTCGGAAAGACAATTAAATTAATTTTAGGAGCAGAAAAAGTCACACATTTGAAAATCCTAGATGAAGTTCATAAACTTTTAAAAACATATAAAACACAAGAAGAAAGAGAAAACCAATAAAGACACTGAAATGGCAATCAAAATCTTCCCACATCCACCCCAAGCCCTATAGCCTTGATGGTTTTACCAAGTTTACCTAACTTTCAAGAACAGATAGTGTCTATCTTACACAATTTTGTTTTAAAAAGGACAGCTACCCAACTCACTTTATTAGGCTAACAGAACCTTAATATCATAACTAGATAAGTAGAGTACATGAAAAGAAAATTATAGGTCAATTCACCTATAGTTACGAACGCAAAATCCTAAATAAAATACTGACCAACTGAATACAATAGTATATAAAAAATAGATATCTTGCAAACAGTTAGGATTCAGAGAAATGCAAAGATGGTCCAACATCAGAAAATCCATCGATGTAATTCAACAGATTAAAGAATGAAAAAAAAATGTAAACTTTTCTACTCAGTAGATGTAATAAAAGCATTTGATAAGTTCAACAAGTTATAATAAAAACTGAATACCAGGACTAAAAGGGAATTTCCTTACCTTGATAAAAGCTATCTAACAATACCCACAGCAATGAAACAAGGCACATTTGTCAGCTGTGACATTACTGGGACTGTGGAACACAGTACTAGGGATCTTGACTAAACAGTAAGACAGGCAACAGAAAAAATGAAAGGACAGGAAGAAGAGACAAAAATATATCTATATTTATAGATATAACCGGCTACCTAGAAAACTCAGTTGACGATTAAGAAAAAAAGTTTTTTCAAAACTGCTGGAAACAATCTCAACCAGAATTGGCCTATAATCTATACCAACAAGAACCATAACGTACTTAGGAAGTAATCTAAGGAAGAATGTATGCATTCTCTATTAAAGAACAGCAACAAAAACCCTGAAAAATTTTCATATTTTTGACTCACTGCACTCCTAAAACTAATAGGCTTTTCAAAGAACCAGTATTTAGTTTTGTTACTTGTTAGCAACTTTGTTTCTTCCATTCATGGGTAGGACAAATTAATATTGTAAAGATGTCAATTCAAAGCAGTTACAATGAAAATCCCTACCGAATTTCTAGGGAAACTACAAAAATGATTCTCAAATTCATATGGAAGAATAAAGGTCCACAAATAGCTAATTTTGAAAAAGAAGAGTTAAGAAATCACCCGATTTGAAAGTAAGATGTATTATAAAACCATGGTAATAAAACATGTGGTACAGTGAACAGACAAGTAATCAACGGAACAGAACAGAAACAGCCTTGCACATATGTCAGCTTGGTACAAGACAGAGGTGGCATCTTATACCAGTGGGAAAAGGATGGATGAATTAACAGACTCATGTTAGGAGAACTGATTGTCTACAAGGAGAAAAATAAAGTCAGATCTTACTGGGGACCATACATATAAACTCCTAAATATGAAAGACAAAAATAGAACAACATGAGAAAAATTAGATAAATGTTATCTTTAAAAAGTGCACAGCAGGTGAACTGAAATGTTATATATTAAATACACTAAATTGGATACCAATAGGGAGGAGAATGGGAACAGTAATAGTGGATGAACAAGGCAAAAAAAAAAAAAAAGGGCCGTGCCAATGATGAGGATGACAGAAAGCCATGAACTGAGGAGTCTGAGTAATTTAAGTTTGTACACCTAAGGTCAACAAAAAACAGGTACGTTTCAACCTGGAGGCTATCAATATAAATACATGTACACATGATACAATACAGAGAGATTTAAAAGCTTTTTCTAAACCTTGTCAGTACTTAGTGGTGACAGAATGCTTATCTCTCAAACTATCCCCCATGTCTCTTAACTTTCATGCTTTCCCTTTATCACTTTGTGCTGAATTCTGGAAGCATACCTCAACTCTACTTTCCTTACTCCAGAAGAAAAAGTAGCATCCCAGGAAGGGAATAAACCAGTGGCCTTTAATTAACAGCACTCTTTGGCCCAAATAAATTTGAGGGAGATTTTTGCATTTAAATACTAAAACAAACTAATCATATCCAGGCTACTTTAACAATAACCAAAGCATTCATTTCCCATAACACTACCTTTGAAATACAGAATAACCTGGATCAATTTTACTATAAATGCACCCATTATTTGATTTCATAGTATTGTGGGGTAAGGGTGAGCTAAAAGCACGTAGACATTACCAATTCTTTTATTCGTTTTCTGTGTCTGCTATGTGGATTGTTCAGATGACTGGTTAGATCAAATATCGTTGGTATAGCATTATCTCGAAGAACTGTCCTATAAGGACTCTGAAAAAGAAAAGTATTAGTAAGTAAGAAATGATCCCTAAGAATGTATTACATATAAATCAAACTCCACGTGAATGATTTCCCTAGCCCTCTTTCAACCCCAGCTCTAAAATGTAGAGACTTGCAGAATTTGATGATGTCAAGTCATGTCAGTCTGTTATTTCTAAATATTTTTTGCATTTGCTCTCCTGGCAATCTTGCTATTATAAATCAAGGATCTGAACTGATGGTAGGCATAAAAAAAAAATGTATTTGTATTTTGTATATATATATATTTCTAATTCAGCCTCCCAGCTATTTTTATCTGTTCTGTCCTTCCGTGAGTTCATCAAATCTACAGCAGGCACAAAAGTCCCCCAAATGATCTACCCTCTTGTATGTTCTATACTAATGCTTCCCTCTTTTACCTGTGCTGTTCATTCTACTTTTGCTAATATTACTGAGAAGCATCAAGGCACAGTGAAAAAAATATTAGACTGGGACCCAGGATACTCAGGAACTAGTCCAAACTCTACCAGTGACTCACTATGAGACCCTGGCAAAATTATTTTCCCTTTTTGGACCTCGGTTTCACATTCTGAATAACCCTGAACTAGATCACCATTTCCTAAAATGAAATTATTCACATACTAATGATCATAATGCTTGCCATTTCAGTTATACCACCATCTGTACTTTTAGATAATCCACTCACTTTTTTAGTTAACATTGTCTTAAGCAATGTTAATGATTTGGTAGGCTAGTTATATTTTTAACACGTATTACAGAACTTCTTAAAATAAAAATTGATTCATGTGCCACCTGAAATCATCTCTCATACCAGAAGTGATATACACAATCACATTTCTGCGAACAGTAAAGGAGGTATTTCTAAATTCTCTTCCAGTTCTAATGATCTTATCTTTGAAGGATGATCATTCTCTACCTAATCCAATCTGGCTAGGAGCTTATGCATACTTAGTTGGTGACAGTCTTCCACAGCCAGTCCAGAGGAGGCCAGGTAGGGACAAGAAGTTTATTAAGAAAGAGAGAAACAGTTGGATAACTGCTACTACATTCCTCCGAGCTAGTCCAAAGAAGCAGTTCCTTTAATTTCTTCCTCAATTTTCAATGATTAAAGACAAAGAACACTTCATTTAAAGAAGTCTTCTTAGGAAGCAGTGATTATTTCAAAACTATTAAAGCATGTTCAAAGACTATGCCAAACAAGAATAATAACTCCTAAATTTTTTCACCTGGGGAAGGGAGATTTGGAAGATACAAAGGGAAAATATCTAAATATTGTTGTCAGTTGCCATTAAGTCAATTTTGACTCATGGCAATTCCAAGTATGCAGAGTAGAACTGCTCCATAGCGTTTTCAAGGCTGTGACCTTTCAGAAGCAGATCACCAGGCCTGTCTTCCAAGGCACCTCTGGATGGGTTCAAACTGCCAATCTTTTGGCTAGTTGTCGAGTGCTTAACCACGTGCCCCACCAAGGGACCCCAAATATCTAAACAGAACACACTATCTTTGAGCTTTATTTACAAATAATAAATTAATTTGGCTAACCAGGACACATTTTCTTGGGTTTACCAAAAGAGTTGTTAAACACAATTGGGAAGAATTTCTATTTAGAGTCAGTATTTTCCAGTTGAATTTCATGCCTCAAACAAAACACAAAGAAGAAAATCTGATTTTTTTTTTAAATCGTGCTTTAGGTGAAAGTTTACAGAACAAATTAGTTTGTCATTAAACAATTAATACACACATTGTTTTGTGACATTGGTTGCCAACCCCGCAACGTGTCAACACTCTTTCCTTCTTGACCTTGGTTTCCCCATTTCCACTCGTCCAGCTTTCCTGTCCCCTTCTGCCTTCTCGTCTTTGTCCCTGGGCTGGTGTGCCCATTTAGTCTCATATACATGGTTGAACTACATGTGTTATTGTTTGTTTTATAGGCCTGTCTAAACTTTAGCTGAAGGGTGAACATCAGGAGCGACTTTAGTACTGAGTTAAAAGGGTGTCTGCGAGCCATACTCTCCGGATTTCTCCAGTCTCTGTCAGACCAGTAAGTCTGATCTTTTTTTGTGAGTCTGAATTTTGTTCTGTATTTTTCTCCAGCTCTGTCCAGGACCCTCTATTGTGATCCCTGGAAAATCTGATTTCTTAATGACACTCAGCTTCTAGAACTGGGCCAATGATCTTGAGTCTACTGGGAAGTCTGAATCAGGGACTGATCAGAGACACACTCATTGAAGGGAATAAAAACTATCATACCCAAAGCTTCTGATCCTTCCCACTGTACAAATGTCTCAAAAATAAGCAAACACACACAGTTAACTCTTGATGTTCTCTCAACTATTAAAAAGGAGAAGGATAAAACATTCTAATGAATTTTAAAAATTCAAATCAAATTAATTTGCTATTTGCAAATAAGGCTCAAAGATATTACAGACCAGAAAATAGAATATATAAATGAAAAACATTCGATTTTTTTAATAAATATTTACTTATAAGTAGCACATAAAAAAAGCTATCTTCAACTGATATGAATGATAATTTTAACTCAGTATCAAGATTTAATCATTAATTGCTGAATTCAGGTTTAAACATACAGCTCAAAATGATCTTACTCTAGCATCAAAAATAATGAAGTATTTGGCTTTGGTTTAACTAGTCATGAATGGTTACTGATGAGATCTTAAACACCAAACAAGTGAAGTGAAAACACTTTTCAACATTTGGATATAGCTATCAAATAAACCAGGTTTTAATAGCAGCACCGTCTTCTACATGTGTAGAAAGAACATTTTCTCACATTTGGATTCATTTATTCAAGACTGAAGAATCACTTGGAAATTGAAAAAAAAAAATCAAAAATACCTCATCTTTCTGTTCTATGCTCTGCCTAAACAAGAATATGAGTGAACTATATTTTAAATTTCTCACATTAATCTGGTTGAAATTATCTAATTAAGAGAGCATACTTATTACTAAGATACAAATGTAAAAATGCATATGGCTTGTGTATTTAAAATATAATTTGGGATATTTTTACTTAATCTCAAGAGCATAAAAGTAGCTTGCCTTTTGAACATATGAAATCTCTTATTTTGGTTGATCATTATTCCCTTTTAACAAAGCAAGGCAAAAATATCCCTCAAATATTTGTGATTAAATCGTTGAACCGGAATTGGCTCACCTCCCAGTGACTTCACAAGTATCTGCTTCAATTAATTTTGAGAAATAAAATAACCCAATCATTCTTTAGTTTTCTGATGCCTCTGCAAAATGTATCTGAAAAAAATATCAAAATAAATTGCTGCATAACATATACTATAGTGTACCTCTACAAATCAAGTTTATGTCTATCCCAACATCTGAGATGATACATATTCCTAAACAAGAATATACAATTTGTTTAACAAAAATGTCTGCCTCATTATTAAAGTGTTGCAAGTCTGCTTCATTTTATTCAAATCTGCCCTATTTGTGCCTTTTATGAATCATAGCAATAACAGAATCACAGAGGATTAAAAATTTTAGACACCTCAGAAATTATCTGGTCTAATGGCCTCATGAGAAACGGGGGCCCAGAGAAGGGAAGTGACTTGGTCAAGTTCACACAGTTAGCAGGAGTCATGCTGAGAAACCCATGTTTTGATGTAAAATTATAAATGGAAAATTTTTTTACATTACCTATATGGTTTGTTCCCTGTTGTAGTATCTACCGCATAAAAATTAAGGGTTGGTTCTAACATTAAATATTAAAAAAAAATACAAAAAAAAAAGAAAACAAAGACCTTCAGATAAAGATTTCACTCATAAAAAAGATCTAGAGAAACTACTCCAAATAAGAACACCAAATTTACCTTAAATAAATTTACACTTTTATAATCTAAAATTTTCTGAAGGCTACATAAGAAGTTTAAAATTGATTACTTCTGGTGAGTAGGAATGGGGTATCAGGAACAAGGAGGTAAAAAAAAATCAGGTTTTTAAGCACAAAATAGATACTATTCAGCTCAAATTTGTCTTCTTAAAAAAAAATGTGGCAGGATATAGGAATACCTTCCAACATTAACAGATAAATATTTACATTTCCACTGGATACTGAGTGAGCAAGTGAGAGAGAAAGACGAGAAAAGACAAACGAAGCTCTCCTATTACTTACAGTTCTACATATCATAGAGGTCTCAAAGTGTTTGGCACATAACCGATAATGTTTATTAAGCTGATCAGGTGTTTTATCTTCTAAGTCGGCTCTCCTACAATTCTCCACCCACTTCTGGCATCTACAAATAAAACCAAAATACAATCATGGAATATGAGCATTTTAGCATTCAGTTTGAAGGCAAATACATATTATGAACAACGGGTCTCTGCCCCCTGTCCCCCAAGAACATAACAATTTGGAGAAGCTGATTAATAACAAAATCAGAGTTGGAAGAGAACTTAGAAACCATTTAGCACAAACCATTCAATTACAGACAAGGTTAAGTAGTAAATTGCTTGGTATTAGGTACGAAACCAGCAGCAAAACCAGAACTTAAACCTGAATTTTCCAACTCCCAGGACATTCTATCAAAAGGACCCAATTATTGGCAGTACAAGCAAAAAGTTGCACAACCATGGGACCAATGGCCTAATATTCCTTTCAGAATTTCAACTTAAATAAGCATATGAAAGAATGCTGTCATTGTAGAAAATTAGTAAGTGCATGTTTTATACAAACTATGAGTTTTTTATAGGAGGATGAAGGTTGTATTCGTTTGCCTTATTATCAACATGATTTATGATCTACAATTATATTCACAGACTAGACTGCAAGCTCCACGAATGCTACATAATCTAGAATATGGTAGGTGTTGAAGATATACAGGCAACAAGACAAAGTCCATGCCCTCTTGGTGCTTACATACTTGCAGGAAAACTAATAATAATACTGCTCACTAAGCACTTACTATGAGCCACTGTTCTAAGTCTTTTCCACGTTGTTGTTGGGTGCCACTGAGTCAATTCCAATTCATAGCGACCTCATGTGACCGAGTAGAACTGCCTCATAGGGTTTTCTTGGCTGTAATCTTTACGGAAGCAGATCACCAGGCCTTTATCCCATGGGGCCGCTGGGTGGGTTCGAACTGCCAACCTTTCAGTTAGCAGCCAAATGCTTAACCACTGCGCCACCAGGGCTCCTTTCAATTCTTTCCATAGGTGGGTACTATTATTATCCTCCTTTTGCACATGAAGAAACCAAGGTATGGAAATGTTAAGTAATTTGCTAAAGGTCAGAACCAGATCTTTTCCTCACTCCTCAAGTTTCTAAGAATAGAAGTCCTGCCATGGATAAAGAGTGTCACAAATCTGAAAACATTCATTTTATAATTACATCATAGTATATTTTCTTATGTCTTAACATTACTGTCCACCCCTACACACACCACCCCGATAACAGTCTCTCCTCTTAAATATGTAAAACCATAATAAAATGTCATGAGTTTCAAACCTAAACTAAAACCACACCCAAACTGTACAGCATTTCATTTGATCAAGAAACATTACTGAACGCAGTAATGAAGTAATGATGCCTAAGATGTATATATTTTAATCATATTTTTACACAGTTTTGCATTATAGTTATAAATATCTCATGCTTCAATATCCAAAAATTTAGTATAAAATCTGTCTATAAAATACCTTGCCATGCTGTTGCAGTTAAGTTTGTTTTTTAATTCTTATATCTCTTGGAGACCTTCCACACAGAACACTGTACAGCATCTCTGAACCAAGCTAAAATAGTTTTCTGATACCAATAGCAACTCAGAGTCAAACAATCAAGAATTGATTGGGCAGAGAGCCCAATTCTTAAAACTACACTTATGACTTCCATATCAAATACTTAGGAATAAATCTAGCGAAATACATGTAAGACCTCTACTAAAAAAGAGAGAGAGAGATACTTAAATAAACTGAGAGATATATAAGTTCATGGATTGGAATTCCAGTTCTAAAGATATCAATTCCCCCCAAATTGATTTACTGATTCAATATAATCACAATCCCAAGAAGTCCTTTTTGTGTGTCAGTCCATGTCTGTGTCTGTGTGTGTGAGTGAGGAAGAGACAGACAGAAAGAGAGAGATGGATGGCAAGATGATTCTAAAACTTTTTATATGGAAATTCAAAGGACCAAGAATCGCCAAGCCAACCTTGAGGGGAAAAAAAAAAGTTGGGAAGACAGGTCAATGGAACAAAATAAAGAGTTATGGCTACTGAAGACAAAGGTAGCATTGACCAACAATGTAGATTTGTTTCAATAAATGCTGCTGGGTCAGTTGGATATCCATAAAAAATAAATAAATATTGACACAAAAATATACAAATATAAATTCCAAGTGGATTATAGATCTAAATATGAAACACAAAACATTAAAACTTCAAAAAGACAAGACTATCTTCATGACCTTGGAGTAAATAAAGATTCCTTAAAGAGAGCAAGAGAAAGCACCAACTCTAGAGGAAATGATGAATAAATCAGACTAAAGTTAATAACTTTTCTTCATTAATAGACACCATTTGAAAATGAAACAGCAATACACAAAAATGTAAGAAGATATTTGCTATGCATATATCAACAATGGACTCATATCGAAAATATATACAAAGGACTGCTACAAATAAATCAGACAACTCTACATAAAAACGGGCAAGAGACTTGAACAGGTACTTTACACAAAAAGGTTATCTGAATGGCCAATACACAGATTAAAAAAAAAAAAAAAAAGCTCAATCTCATTAGTCATCAGGAAAATAGTAATTAAAACTACAAGATATTACTACATACCCACAAGATGACTATACTGTAAAAGAGACAATACCAACGGTTGGGGAGAAGGTGAAACAACTCTGTCCATAAACAGTAGAAAGGATAAATTGTGGTATATTCATTCAACAGAATACTGCTTGGCAATGGGAATGAGTGAACTACCTACGGTCTCATAAACAATGTTGAGCTAAAGAAGCCAGAAATACACACTGTGTGATTCCTTTTATATTAAGTTCAAGAACAGGCAAAACTCATCTGTAGTGATTATGCAGAAAAGAGTTAACACAGTAATCTCTCCTTAAAAAGGTCTGCTTGTAAGGTTTGGCTCTTGGCTGGCGTCTGGGATCCTGGTTGGTAAAAAGTTCCCTACGCTGATATAAAACTTTCCCTAACTGATAAGAATGGCTCACTGTGCCTAGACTGTTTGTGCAAACAATATGATTTATGCTGAACACCTGCCCTCCTTCTAGGAGATTGGAATTTTAGTATGTGCTAGGCAGAGAACAGCCTATGTGAACAGCCCCCAGTAAAAACTTTAGGCACTGAATCTCTAATGGGCTTCACTGGGCAAACACATGGCACACACATTGCTGCATTTTCAGTGCTGGGGAAGAGTGGACTCTGTGTGATCCCTCATCAAAGGGAGAGTATAAGTAAGCCTGCACATGGATCCTCCAGGCTCTGCCTGTCTTCTTCCCTTATGATCCAGATGTGTATCCTTACTATATCACTGTAATAAATCTTAGCCATGAATACAACCATATGCTGAGTCTTGAGAGTTCCCTAGTGAGTCTCTCGATATGGGGGTGATCTTGGGGACCCCTGACACAGTGGACACCTTTGGAGAGGGGTAACAACTGGGAGTAAGCACAAAGGAGACTTCTAAGGTGCTGGTAATGTGCTATATCTTAAACATTACTTGGGTATGTTCACTTTGTAAAAACTCATCAAGCTCTAGACTACCATTTTTGCACTTTTCTTTATGTATGCTACATATCACTAAAAAAGCTTCCCCCCAACTCTACTGCCCAACCTCCCCCCGCTCAAAAAAAAACAACTATGGTGTGTGAAGTCAGACAGTGGCTGCCATTGGGGAGAGTGGGATAATGAATGGGAGGGCCATGGAGGGAGTCTGGGATGCTGTTTTTAAAAATCTGGGTGGGTTTCACAGACATGTCACTGAAAATTCAACAAGGTGTACACTTATAATTTGTGATCTTGTGTGTATATGTTTTATCTCAGTAAGTTATAAAAATCATATGTAACCACAATAGTCTTTATATATACATGCATGTGTTTATACTTATATAAGTACATACATATTCATGGCATTATTTCTCAAATTTTTATCAATTTCTCTTTCAAATTTTTTACCTCTCCCAGCTCTGTCATTGCTCTGTTCCCTGTACTCCAGATGTTGGGGTCTTTTCCTTAGTAGAATGGAAATGACTCCCTGAATCCATTTACTTTTCTCCATCACTAATACCTTGGTCCAAGTTACCAGTATTTTTCACTGGGTCTACCTGTAATCTCTTCCAAAGTGGTCTCTTGTTTTTCTCTAATCCCTTCTTCACACTGTAGAGTGAATGTTTAAAAAAGCCATTCTTTGCTTAATTAAAACCCTTTAGTAGCTTCTCATTACTCTTAGGATAAAGAACCAACTCCTCACATGTCTTATGAGACCCTGTACAATCTGGACCTCATCTACCTTTCCATCTTCATATCACTTCCACTCTCTCTTTACCACCTCACATGCCTTCCTTCAGTTTCTTGACAGCATTGTGCCCAATTCTATCATAGGGCCTTTTCCCCATGCTGTTTATTCAGTCTGAGATACTCTTCTTGTGTATTTTCTCACTTCCTTTGCATCGTTAACTCCAACTCAGCCTTCAGATCCTAGTTCAAATGTCATTTCTTGGGAGAAACTTTTCCTGATTCATGTGTATTTATGTGTATACAGACACATATACATCCAGGTAGGTAAGACTCCTCTCTACCTCTCTGTAAATGGTCTCTGAACACCCTATATTTACCCTAATGAATTATTCCCATCAGTATAAGTATGCTCTAGTACCTCCCATCTCAAAAACTCCGTTGGCCCTGATCATAGAAAACTAGTTAGAGAGTCCATTTTCAGTGTATCCACTTCCTTATCTCACATCCTCTCCTTACTCAATTCCAAGGAAGCTTTTGCTCTGTTCTTCTTCACTGAAACTGCTCAAGATTACTACTGGCTTCCATTCTGCCAAATCCAATGATCACTTTTCTGTCCTTAATGGCCTTTTGAGCACAATTCAACCTTACTCAGTGACCACTTTTTTTTTTTTTTAAATGTTTCCTTCAATGGCCACCTACTACTGCATTTCTAAAAATGTATTCCAAGGAACATTAGTCAAAGAATTGTTTCATTAAAAAAAGTGTTCCATGGTCAAATAAGTCTGGATACATTACATATTATATCCTACTTGGGGTTTTAGATATTCCTGTGGGACCTGGGACAAGTTACTCATCCTTTCTTTGCCTGCTTTGGTCATCTGCAAAGCAGGGTCTACCCCAAAATTTATTGAGTTAAATAAAATTATATACACAAAATACCTGGAACAGTGTCTGGCACATAGTATATGTTATATAAAAAGTATTATAATTAACAGCATTGTTTGGAAGATTAAATGAGATGATATGAAAGCACTTTAAGATCATATTTCACAGCAAGGATTATCGAACTTTATAGTCTCAGGACCCCTTTACAAGCTTAAATTACTGAAGACCCCAAAGAGCTTTTATTTATGTGGGTTTTACCTATCAATATTATATTAAAAATTAAAACAGAAATTTTAAAAATATTAATTCACCAAAAATACAATTCCATTACATGTTAGTATAAATATTTTAATTAAAAATACTTACATTTTTTCCAAAACAAACAAAATACATTTAGTGAGAAGAATGGCACTGTTTTCCATTTTAAAAAACCTCTTTAATATCTGGTTAAATAGAGGAGAGAGTCTCACATCTGCGTCTTCATTTAATCTGTTAACATATGTTGTTTGGTTGAAGTATATGAAGAAAATCTGGCTTCACACTGATATGCAGTTGAGCAGGCTATTAAAATACTCCTCCCTTTTCCATATAATTGTGGGATGTTCTTCTCTGATACTATACCAAAACTCTACAAGCAGTAGTTTCTTAGATTAATTGCAATATGGAATCTAAAGCAAAATCAATGAGCTTTTTAATACTCTGTTACATTAAACTCCATCCACGCATGTCTTTGTAAAACCATGTATTAGTCATTTGGAAAATACTGGTTCTGATTATTTGTCTACTTCCCCCCTCCAGAATGTAATCTCTTTGAGGGCAGGGACTATGTCCGATTTGTTCATCTGTAGCCCACCCTCCTCAGAACAATGTTCATCACATAGTAGGCCTTCAATTAATATTTGTTGAACTAATAAATAGTATGCTACATTACAATTGCTTGTTTATACTATCTCCCCTACTGGACTGTGAGCTTCCTGCAGGCAGTGGCACTGCCTCATTCACCTCTGAATTCCCAGTCCTAACATCAGTGCTCCGCATATAGCAGTCCACAGATTTTAAATGAATGAATCAACAAGAGAGCCCTATGAAATAACCTCAGCCTTTCAAACACATTCCCTACATGATCACTCTCTAAATATAAGTCAGAGTGTGTGGGTTTCCCCAAGGAAGAGGTTTCGATACCAATTCCCATGTACTCGGGCGTAAAGCCCTGTCATCCCCCTAACAACCCAGTGAGATAATGTAACGGTCAGAGCCAGAATTTAACCGTGCTTTGACAAGTCCGGAGAAAGGAGTAGTTCTGACTTGACTTGAGATCAAAGTAGGTGGCTGGACTCCAAACAGAAACACTGTCCAGGGGGTGGTGGCAAGGAGAGGGGAGGGCCCCGGCGACCGCAACCATAGTCTAAGGCCCTCTTTTGACAGCTGAGGTAACTATAAAGCCCAGAGAGGAAAAACGACTTGCCCGAGGTCACACAGCAAGTTAACCAGGGAGACAGCCATGTTATCCCGACTCCGCACGCCGCCCCAGATGCCTCTTACTTCGGGTGGTGCCCTCCACGCCGAACCCCCGCTGGCGCACGTGCTCCAAGGTCCGGGGCGCCCGCCTGCCCTCTGCTTACGGCCGGTTCCCTATCTGGGTCCAAGGCTGGGGGTCGACGCCGGTGCACCGACCTCCTACGCCTCCCTCAGCCCGCAGCCTGCCCCAGGCCAGCGGCTGGCAGCGAGCGCCGCGGAGGCGGGCCAGCACTGCCAGCTCTGCGCCCGCCGCTTACCTGGCTGGATCCCGCGGGAACCTGAAGAAGGCCAAGTCGGACTGCGTGCTCTTCCGCGTGCAGTTGGGGGCAGCGCAGAAGTTCGGCATCGTAGCCCGCCCGCCGGCCGGCCCAGCTCTCCCCTCCCCGTCTCCTCAGGGCAGCCCGCCCGCCCGTCGGGGCCGGGGAGGGGAGCCAGGCCGGCCGGCCGGCTCGGTAGGGCCGGCGCGCCGAGGGAAGGGGCGGGCGGACGAGAAGCCGCGAGGGGCAGGAGGGGCGCCGCGGTCCGAGGCCGGGCTGGAGACGCGGCTCCACAGTGCTGTGAGCGGCCGGGAGGATTTACCGCCGCCGCCGCCGCTGGTGCACCTCCCGCCCGCCCGGGACGCTGCCGCCTCCTTCCCACAATGCACCCTGGCGCCCGGGGGTGCCCTCTCTTCCCTCAGCCTTCCTTCCCCGCCCCCTCCTTTCCGCCGACTTCTCCGCTGGCGGGCACGCGCGAGGAAGCGCGCCTGCCTTGGGTGTGGCGAGGCGGAGGCGGGGCCTGACGCGGGGGTGCCGCAGTGCGCCTGCGCAAGGCCTAAATCTCCAGTGGGGGTAGTTTGCGCACGCGGACGTGTCCCCTGGGACTCTAGGGCGGGTGAACCCCAGGCAGCTCTGGTAGGTTTGGCGGGCGCGGGTTTGCGCTGATCTGGGGCGAGCTTGTGTGTTACATCACCGTTGCATCTCTCTTTGCTTGCTTAAGTTGCCACCACTTAGGCCTCTATTACAGAAATCACCATATACTCATAAGGGCCGCGGAATCGTGACGACCTTGGTGACTGACTTTCAAACTTCGGCAGAGCTGCGTGGATGGGTTGGACGCAGACGTAGATTGTGGGGAATTGCACTTTCTACAGCTTTGCAGCAACTCTTTGGGCCCTTTAGTTTCTCAGAGCAGGCTTCCCCAGCCTCGACTGGAAACGGAGGGGCAAAAACTCCGAACAGCAATTATTCTGTCGTAAAGTGATTAGAGGTAGTTTTCCTGTGAGGCTTCCAGAGGAGCAAGAATAGTGACATGATTCTGCCCGCGGTGCTGTAGAAATTGGCCCTCTCTCTTCCTTTCACAGTCGTGGCCTGTTAACGTTCCTGTTTTGCTTAAGTGCCAAAATGAGTGACCGCTATTTAGAACAAAGAATTAGCATCAAATTTTGCGTAAAATTGAACAAGTCTGCAAGTGAGACTCACCACCTTTTAAAAGAAGCTTATGGGGATGAAGTCATGTCAAGGGCCAGAGTTTTTGACTGGCACAAAAGGTTTAAAGAAGGGCGGGAAGATGTTCGAGATGATGCACGAAGTGGTCGTCCAGTCACCCACCGGACGGATGAAAATATCCAGAAGGTCAAGGACTTGGTTTGTTCAAACAGGCAGTTAACGGTGAGGATGATGGCTGAAGAGTTGAATTTAGATAAAGAAACTGTTAGACTCATTCTGAAAGAAAACTTGAACATGAGGAAAGTGTCTGCAAAAGTTATATCGGGTATTTTGAAGGATGAGCCTAAACCTCGAAAACTTGATTTTCAGCCTGATCTTTCAAAGGAAACTAGGAAAAATAGCTCATCTGTGAGGAAAAAGGTAACAAGTTGTGAAACATGGAGTCATCTCCAAAGCGAAGCTGGTGGAGAAATGCCTCTGCCAGTATCGCATCCCAGAATCCACTACCCTGCCAGCCAGCTTCTGCAGGCTTCATCTTCAGTGAGTCTTCCCACCAGGGTAGCTCAGGATTGGTTCACACCATGGTGAAAGGAATGTGAGGTGGTTGAACCTGAGCTAGGAAGCTGCCTCCACATTAAGCACCTTCATTTGTTGCTCATCTATTTTATCTTCTCTACCACCTCTCCCTATGTGTCATTGTCTACCTAGTTATTACTCTTTGCTGGACTACTGGACCATTTCCCTTGTTCCCCAGAACTTTGAAGAACTTTTGGCGATTGACTTCTGGTACTTGTGTGTTCTTGATTTCTTTTGCTTAACAAGTTTGGATCTCTTTACTGCCTAGACCTCAGCTTGCTGTGGCCATCCTGTTCCTTGGTTCTCAACATTCTGCCTTAGGGGATCATGCCAGTGAGAGGTGGAGATGGGACACCTGGATGTGTATCTGCCCAGGGAGGCGTGCTCTTCTAGGAAGACCACAAAGAAAGTCTACAATTCCAGCCTGCTTTGCAGTCAGGGCCTGAGGTATGGTACAGAAGGCAGTGGCATGCTGACATAATGAGCCATGCTGGGCCTAAGGACTGATCTGGCCCAAATGGTTCAGTGGAAGCCCCTCAAAACTGAGAGGTTGGCTACCGATACTAATCTACTCATAGTCCTATTCCTCACAGAAGAGCTGGGTTTGTTTGATTCCAGTGCTTTGGACCCCCACTCATTTGGGTATCCCTATCTGCTGTAAGAGGAGGATCTGGCCCTAGGAAATATAAACCAAGGAACTGGGCCTAGACTGTGATGTGTGGGGAAGGTGGTCAGGTGATAGTATAGATCTTAAATTAAGGGAGTTGGCTGCCTATGTGTTGCTTCCCACACAGCAGCCTGTCTCTAGTGATTAACACTCATATTGTCAGGTTTTTTGTCTGTTTAGTATCTGCTGTTTTTAGAACACTGCTGGGTATTAATGATGCAGTTATAAAACAAGATCACCAAGGGCTAAGTGAACTTCATGGATGAGGTGGTTCTTGAACTGGGTCCATAAGGAAGGGTGAGTCTTAGACAAGGGGTGAAGAAATTAGGGAAAGCTTTAGGCAAGTTGAATAGCGTGAGGCTTTGAACCTGTGTCAGTAGGAAAATGATGGTATTACTGGCTGAAATCGTGAAGTCTAAAAGGGAAATAATGGTGTTGCAGATGAACAGTTTGGGATAATTTTGCTTCCTCTTCTCTGTCCTGAACTCTGCCAGTAGTTTATAAATTGCTTCTCCTGAGTCTGTGAATAGGTTAATAATAACCTACTTACTTGATTATATAATTTTTCCATTGAACCCAAAAGAGCAGTCTCTACAAATTCAAACTCTCTCCTCTTCCTGCCTCTCTGCCAAGATTTATGGGATAGAACTTGTCCCAAGTGGATGTCAGGCAATACCATATAGACTGGAAACATCTCAGAATGCCTGATGGGGGTGGGGAGTGGGAACAGCATTTGGGCCAGATTTTTTTTTTTTTAACTGAGCTCTAGGTGAAAGTTTACAGAGCTTGTTTAGCTTCTCGTTAATTAATATACAAATTGTTTTGTGACATTAGTTGCCAACCCGGCAATGTGTCAACGCTCTCCTCTTCTCCATCCCGGGTTCCCTGTTTCCATTTGTCTAGTTTTCCTGTCCCTTCCTGCCTTCTCGTTTGGCTAGTGTGCCCATTAAGTCTCGTATACATGATTGAACTACGATGTATGTTCCTCACGTGTGTTATTGTTTGCCCTATAAACCTGTCTGATCTTTGGCTGAAGGGTGAACATTGGGAGTGACTTGAGTACTGAGTTAAAAAGGTGTTCGGGGGCCATACTGTCAGGGTTTCTCCAGTCTCTGTCAGACCAGCAAGTCTGGTCTTTTTTTTTTTTTTTTTCGGTGAATTTGAATTTTTCTCCAGCTCTGTCCAGCACCCTCTATTGTGATCCCTGTCAGAGCAGTTGGTGGTGGTAGCCAGACACCGTCTAGTTGTTCTGGGCTTAGTCTGGCGGAGGTTGTAGTAGTTATGGCCCATTAGTTCTTTGGACTAATCTTTCCCTTGTATCTTTGGTTTTCTTCATTCTCCTTTGCTCTAGCTGGGATGGGACCCATAGATGTATCTTAGATGGCCACTCGTGGGCTTTTAAGACCCCAAAAGCTACTCACCCCTGTTGGATGTAGAACATTTTCTTTATAAACTACATTATGCCAGTTGAGCTAGATGTCCCCCCAGTTTCTGTATTTTATTTCCAAGGATTTTTACACGTAACAGCCCCTATTACTTAGTAAGGAGGTAAACAATATTGGTTCATAGTAGAGGCCCAACAACTGTTCAGTTACTTTTAATTCTGTTCTTTCACTGTCTCTACCCTCTTCAGAAAATTACGAGTTCTCGACTAACACCTGTCAGTTTTGAGGCAGCCTGAAAGCTAGATCTTGTCCCACAAATAAAACATCTTGTGGAAGAAAACTATTAAACCAAGCAACAACTTCCACCTACTGAGCAATTTCTGGATGTTCCATTTCAGGACTGTCAAGTCTTCCTAAATTGGGTGATGCCCTGGGTTCCCCACAATCACTTGCCACTAGGGACATTGCTTTTCAGGAACAAAACCCCCACAGCTAGCTTTTGCAGCCTTGTTGCTGAACCTCATATTAACCCTTGCTCAGGCCGCTGGTAATTGTTGCACAATTGTGTGCTCTGGGGCCCAGAGCAGGATCCCACAATAGTATTTACAGTTATTATCTTCAACTTATAACACAGAGGTCCTGAGAGAACTTATTTCTGGATTTTATTCCAGTCCTATGAACAGGGCTGGAGTGACCCTGCCAGAGATGCTGGACCAAGACTTGTGCTGGAATGTAGGGTACCGGAAGCAGTGTTGGCCCAGACAGATTTTGGACCTAGAGTAATGGAAGCAGGTAATCAGGAGAGTGAATTCAAATTGTCCCAAGTGGCTATAACAAATAGGACTTGATTTATTACCTTAGATCATCCGCTGAATAGTAGTCAGGTTGAACTACTACCAGAACCCATTAGTTCATTTGCAAGACTTCCCAGAAAATATCCAATGAGATAAACTCTAGGGTACCTCAGATTTGAGGAAAGAAAAATTACTGCCCCAAGACTCATACAGAGAAACCATTCTCACATGGCTGCTCAGAACCACTAAATCCAAGGCTAGAATATGATTTCCTAGGAGTATCCTAAGCAGGAGAGTTCTCATATAAAATTACCTCTTATGTACCCACCCACAGGAATTTTGCCCAGGCCTGTCCATTGCTAAAAGGAACCCTGGTGGTGCAGTGGTTAAAGTGCTTGGCTGGTAACAAAAAGGTCAGTGGTCAAACCCAGCAGCCGCTCTGTGGGAGAAAGATGTAACAGTCTGCTTCCATAAAGATTGTAGCCTTGGAAACCCTATGGGGCAGTTCTACCCTGTCCTAAAGGGTCACTGTGAGTCGGAATCAACTCGATGGCACTGGGTTCGGTTTGGGTCTGTACCTCGCTTCCCAAGCCTCTTGAGCTCCTGATCCTCTAGTCTCATGGATCCACCCGTGCATCATGCCCCAGGCGCTTGTCCTTGGCTTTTCTCAGACCTTTCAATTTATTCTCCACCAGTTTGCTCTTGCTACTCTGTCTTTGCCTGGTACTTCCTTTTCTGGTTTTGGACCACACCTCTAGCACCTGCTTTTGGCCCCTTTGGTGTGCTGATACTTGCACTGCCCTTTTGATCATGGTTTTCCACTCAGTGCACAACTCCTCTCTGATTTTTGAATTCTTCTTCTAGCCCCCTACCTCAGCTTCACAGTCTTAAGTAAGGAAACTGCCTGCTCCAGCCCTGGCCAGTGTTACCTTCCTATCCCCAAGAGGCGGGTGAGGCAACATGGAAGAATGTGCTCTTGTTTTTGTTTTTTATAAGGGGCATACAGAGGGGGGAGAAAAGCTCCCTCCCACCTCTGACTTAGCCATCTGTTCCCCTCTCCAGAGACAACCAGGGTTAACCAGTTTCTTAAGAGGGTGATTTGGTTACCTCTGGTACTCAAGAGTCATGAAAGCTTCTCGTATAACATCCAAACCCCATTCTCCCAGCAACTGTATCTTCTCTAGCAGAAACAGCTCTGCCGAATCATAAGAGATCAAGCCTGGCTGTCTGTGGGATGTCAGAAGAGCTGGCCATCTGCAAACCTTGATCATAATACTCAAGCTCAACAGTCAGTGAATCTCTGGCCAATAGGTTTCTTCCCCACCTCCATCCCCTATTCTGGTTCAAAATCCACATGAAATGTTGCATGGCACAGCTGAAAATCCAGGACGAATAGACCTTTTGGGCAGATCGTCGCATCATTGATCTTATCCAATTTACCCACCACCCATTGCCTCATACCCCCTTGCCCCATCTGTTGTTGTTATGTGCCATGGAGTTGATTTCAACTCATAGTGACCCCATGTGACTTTCAAAACCCCACAGAATTTTCTAGGCTGTAATCTTTATAGGAGCAGATCACCAAGTCTTCTCCTGCAGACCCGTTGGGTGGGTTCAAAACACCAACCTTTCAGTTAGCAGCCAAGTGCTTAAATGTTGCGCCACCAGGGCTCCACCTGCCCCGTTCATAATGATCAAAAACAGAAAGATTAAAATGTTCACCAAATCTTTGACTTATAAAAACATGTAGATGGTTGTACAGTCTTCTGAATTCTGGCTCCTGACTCTGAATCCTCTTTGAAATGTTTTTCAACATTGTTGGAGAAGTATGCGTCCCTGGGGCCTGCTTTCCATTCTTGCCCCACAAGGCATAGTTTACCAACCCCTAGTCTAGTGTATATAATGTGTGTCTATAAAAATGACAGATGATTGATCCTTTTCCGTCAATAACATTGTTAATGCCAAATTGATCTGGCAGTGTCTGACAACTTACTATATAGAAATTGTGGAATATTGGAGGCAATCTTTATGGAGCCAGATGAGTAAACTACAGCTGAATGATGGGCCATGTTATCTTAACCATATTCTGGGTCATAAAATGATGTATGTGCTGTTTTTGATTTAAAATGGTATCACACAAACTGCCAACTATACTACTGTATTATAATGTCTCAAAAACAATTTTAGCAATACTGAAAATGGTGCCAAGTTGCAACCAGCAAGAATAGAATGAACTGAAGCTACTTCTAAAAATGCCTTGACCATGAGTAGCATTTGAATAAATTCATGCTGTCACCTATGAAAGTGACTTCTTTGGAAGTGACAAAACACTGAAGTATATTTTTTGGCCTGCTTGTAAAAATATATATATATTCGCACCTTGCAACTGGTGCTGAGGTATGTTACGTCCTTTTAGTCATGCTTGTTTTTCCCCTAAAGAGAGCTTTATTGTGTCACCTTTATTTAAACTGATCTTCCAGTGTTAAAATAGAATCCCGGAATTGGACAGACCTTTACAAGGGCACCTAATCCAGCCACTCATGTTTCCATTGAATCCAGGAGTGACTAAACCCTACAGCGGCTGAAAAACTGCATCTGAAAGAAGATTGTGTGTTAATTCATTCAGCAAAATTTTATTGATGGCTGCATGTGCCAGACATTGTCCTTTGTGCTGGAATACAGCAGTAGACAAGACAGACGCAGACCTTGGATGTGACAGTCTGAAATCTAATTATATTACTCTTCACTCTTGCAAAACTTGTATGTGCTCACAGTAACTTATTATTAACTGCATACCTGGAAATAGGTATGACCTTTGCCACATGCCTTTGTGTTCTGGTCATGATGCCTTTCTAACTGCATTAATAATTTGAGGACTGTATGTTCCACTTAAATTTTTATTATCCTTTGGACAGGTCTATGTTGGTAGAAAAACCTACTGGCAATGTTGGAAGTGTAAATTGGCAGCAGTTTTCTGAAAAGCAATTTGGCAGTATCTATCAGGAGCTTTAAAAATGTTTTTATCCTCTGATCCTCTCATTCCACTTCTGGGAATCTGTCCTAAAAAAATAATCTAAAATGTGAGTAAAAGTTTTGCTTTAATAATCCAGAAGTCCAACAGAAGATTGGTTAAATAAATTTCAGTATGACTATTCAATAGACTGTTACGCAGTCATTATAAGTAATGTTTACGAGGCGTATATAACAGCATGACAAAATGCATATAACGTTAAGTGAAAAGAGTGATATACAAAATTGTATATACTGTGAAAGCCTGAACCTGTGTAAGGCAGAAACCTGTTAGAGAAGGAAAACTCAAGTATTTTCCACTAAAGCAAGTGATAGAAAAGTGGTAGGACTGCACCCAGTCAAAGTTGGAAAACTTGTGAGACCTGGGAAAACAAGGCAGTCCCATCACTGTATGAATTTGAAAATGTTTAAAAATTACTAGAAATCATATACTGACTCTGGGTGGTTGGATTATGGGTGATTTTTAAAATTTCTCTTTTTTTATGCTTTTAAAAAATATTTCTCCAAAGTGTTATTACCTTTATTATCAGAATGAGACAATAGCATCAGAAGTTGGCAGTGTAGAGAGTGAGGCAAACCACTAGTTTGGTCCATGAACAATTAACTGGGTGAGTCAGCAAAGAGACTGCATGATACTGTATTGGTAGAAAGCGTGGGGCAGAAGGGGAAAGAGCCTGCCACAGAGGAGGAGATGAGACCAGAATCTCTACCAAAATAAAAACAAAAACAAAGTGATAGTTGAAGACACTGTAAGTGGCACACTAGAGGCAGATAGGCCCAGGTAGGTAAAGAGCACTCACAAATCAAGTATATTCTAACAAGTGGAAGGAAAGGATATGAAGTACTCTCTCAGGTAAAATTAACCCCTTTTGGACTTCACTCCCGCATCCTCTCATTCAAAATGAATTCTAAAGATGGATTTTATTCTAGTTGATTCTCTGAAGGATCCTTGAGCCTTCTGTATAATTTCTTTACCATAGGAATGGCTTTCAATACACCAAGCCTACCTCCTCCCATACTGGGAGACTCATGGATGTCCACTGGAGTATTTGGTATTCTATGTTGAGACTACCACACACATATCATGAGTCATTGTGATGTTATAGCGTACAGAACTCTATGGTTTGTGGATGTTATTTTGTCAGCATCCAGAATTAATGTGCTTTTATGTCTGAAGAATAATGTGGGATTTTAAAATGAGAAATGATGTAGCTAATGCTTATCCATAGATGAAATTTTTGTTATGCTGGGAAAATGTGTACTTAATTGTTGCTTTAATAAAGTGGTTATCATTGAAATGCCAAAAATGTGTCCTTGGTGGAATTTGAAACCTCCAAATGAGTTGTTGTTAGGTACTGTTGAGTCGATTCCAATTCATAGCGACCTGTGTAACAGAGTAGAACTGCCCCATAGGGTTTCCTAGGCTATAATCATTATGCGAACAGATCGCCAAGTCTTTTCTCCCTTTTGCTTAGCAGCTGAGCACTTAACCATTATGCCACCAGGGCTCCTTCAAATGTACACAAGGTAAATACATGTTTTATAGGCATACATAAGATAACATTTGTCAAGCTGGAACAGTTCTTCAATATCTAAATCTAAGTCCCTTACTCTATAGAAAGAGCAAACGAGTGAGACTTAGGTTTTAATCCCTGCTGTTTAACACCTAACACGTATGTGACTTTGGACAGTCACATAGCTTTGCAACTAAACTAGCTATGTGACCTTAGGCAATTGATTTCCCCTCTCTGAGCGCTTCAATTTGCTCATCTATAAAAGGAGAATAATAACAGCTATCTCATAGAGTTGTTCACTTTGTTCATTCAACAAATATTTATTGAGTGCTTATGTGCCTGACATTGTTCTAGACACTGAGGATATAGCAATGATCAAAACAAAATCTTCTCACGAGCTTACGTTAAAGTGGAAGAAACAGACAAGAAATAAGACAAATGAGTAAAACTATAGTATGTCAAATAGTGATCATTAGATCGGAGGCTGACATTAAATAATAAATATGCGGTTCCTGACACAATGCCTGACATGTAGTAAGTGCCCAATAGATAGTAATTTCCTTTGCTTCTTACGTCTCCCTAACAGCCCCTGAATTACTGTACAAAATGGTAGTAATCCACAAAAAGCTTTCTATCTATTGTGAGTTAATATGGCCTATTTAAATGTATTTGCTTAAGAAGACAAAAGAATTCTTACAGATGTGTTTTGTATTTCCTGTATGGCAGATTAATCAAGGTGGTGCCTAAACACTGTTGATAAATGACTTCTGAAGAGTTGGCAGAGACTAGATGGCAGGTGTTAAGTCCACAAAGACACATAGTGTCATTGCTGTTTAAGCAAAACAGACTAGGAGATTTAAGATTTA